ACCATGCCCCTGAAGATGTCCCAGTGGTCAGCGTGATCAATGACTAGTCAAAACCATAAAGTGCGCAGAGTACCTGCCCAGTATCCAAGGATTCCTAAGAAATCGGAAAGTGTTGCGTAAAATTTATGTTGCCCCACGATGGCGAGTGTCAATACCCTTTGTATCATCATTTAGTTGGATAATGAGAAGAATTGATCGCACTTACACTACCGTCGCGAATAGGGAAATTACATATCGGGGAACAACCACCAGAGGCGGAAAAAGCGTCTGCATACACATGCACATCGAGTATAAAGTCGGGGCATTGTTGGCAGTCACGCTCAGGCTGACCAACACCATCAAGAACTTTCTAAATTTACCGACAGGGGAAAGCATTGCATCAACAAGCCCACCGACGTTACCATCAGTAAAACCAGTTTCCCAGTCGGGGTCTGTGGAGGTAGATATTGCTGCTGCAGCTCCTAAGCATTGGAGAGTAATCTAAAAGGGTCAGTGTAGAGACAAGGGCAACCAAAGTACCCCTTACTATAGGGAGATTGAGGCCGAGGTATGAATAGGAGAAGATTTTCCAGCTGATTCAGTTCAAGATCAGATTGAGAATGTTGTGGGCCAACGCGACATGCAACTCACCTGGAGGCTCGAGGGTGGAAGTATGTGGTATAGTCCGAACTGAATATTGCCCACGTAAGCGTGAAACCGGCGATTGTCGCCCCAAAATTGAGAACCTGTGGCGCAGTGGCAGGCGGCGTCGCGGCGTCAACGAAGTGTTTGCCGCCGGCAGCAGCGGCGATGACGAAGACGATGAGAATGGGAATCCAAGCACATCTTTCGTAACTGCAAGAAGTCAGGGAAGGCTGAGGTCATTGTTCTGAATGAGATGATATACATACAAACTGAGAACCTTGAGCCCACAGAAGGATACCTGTCATGGGAGATGGTCAGGAAATATGGTGGCTGAGAACCTGTGCGACTGGGTTCACTAACAAAGAGAGAGATTAGAGAAATGATCACAATCCCAACACTGACAAAGACTATGAGATTCATGGACTTGGACGCTGCATGTCGCTTAGATTACTCACGTCCAACTGATGTTAGCGACAGTTGCCAGCGCCTGGCCGCCCAGTATGCAATTCAGAACGCAGAAGCCGAGGCCAGTCACAACAGCCAACAGGCTCGGGACAGTGACGCCGTAGTATCTAGAGACATAGATCAACCATCATAGCCGGCCGCTACGGTAAGCAGATAACTTACCCGAACGTATACCGTGTCAAGCATAGTTGGCGCAAACCAAGTTTCGAACCCCACGTCGAGCTTGCTCAACTCAGTTGGGTATTCACCGCAAAAGCAAACTGACACCTTGGGTAGCACTCACAAGTATGCAGGAGGGATGGCGCACAGCAAGTTGAAGAAGAGGATGGTCAGACATGAATCGCGAAGGCCAAGTCCAAATGCTACCGGGCCTAGGGTTCCCGTGGAAAATCTAACGTAGAAACGATGTCAGCGTCAGCTCACCCGGGCCATTCGTGAAGAGCGCGCAGCTAAGCAAGGCCAAAGAAGTCAACGTACGAGAGAATGTTAGTATTCGCGGACAGCCATATGAAGAATATTTTATTGAAATGAGTTTCCGTCCTGTCTTGGACTGCGACGGGGTGAATGCCTGGTCAAGTGGTGGGCCATGCGTATGCTCTGTCTTAGGATCGGGTTCAGAGTCCAAGATGCTACGTGACACACCTCGCAGCTCTACCCCCCAAGTCAAAAGCTTTTTCAACAAGAACTGTTTCATGGCGGGGTGATTCTGAACTTCAGAGATTTCTGACGAGTTCTTGTCATCCGAGTCCTTTGCTGAGATGGGTGTACGCTCGGAGTCCATAGCACGCCTCAGGCTGGGCCGACCACGTTCGAGTAGGGTAGAGTAGAGACTCGGACAGATGGTCCGCCGGGGGGTGGAAAGAGAGAGGAGGTGCAAAGGATTGCAGCATATTTACGACAAAATGGAAGCTGTAGGAACAAAAGAGTCAATCATCACCATATGCACTCGGGACTTCTATGTCTCAAGAAATTTCTTGGCCGCGATTCAGAACGGGAAAACTGTCTAAGCGAGGCAAATATTAACCGAAACCTTCTCAACCGCGTGGTTCCTTATCCACGCCCTCATCATGCATGTCCATCAGAATCTATTCGTGTCTCACTCTGACTAGGGTACTATTCTAAAGACGACAGAGGGATGCTCACTAATGCCCAAAACCGCCTTGTCATCTATTCAGGCGTAGCCGAAGACGTGTTTAGTGCGCTGTAATTCATTATCCCCATGACTATGGATACATCTTGAACGTCAATTCTGAGAGCGCCTTTGCTGCCCATGACACTTCACCTCCTTACCATCGATCGTACTTATCACGCTTTTGCTAATCATTCGAGGAGATCGTGGCTTACCATATCCAGCTGTTGCGTGATATGAATTCACATACGTGAACTCGTTTAGAGTCAAGATACCTTGTGGGCGACGCACTACCCGACCGAACTTAAAGGCTAATCTAGATCCGAAGAACCCCCGGAGAACACGTCCCCAACCCCTTCTTGTATAATGGTGCTTATCGTCATGATGCGCAGCACCGATATTGTCTTATCAACTCACTCGTTTATGCAGAATACTGCGGCATTAGTGATACTATTCTGGTGTGACTGCTGAAGTTCAAAGTAGAAGGTCGGCATCTGTGCGGTGCTGTTGGCGAACCGTCGCCATATGGAGGCCCGGGTAAGTGCTGAGGCGTGCCCGTACCCCGCAACAATTCACGATGAGTGTCAGCACACAAAATTTTCAGTCACGCCTCGGTGTTTCCCTTTTGTCCCTACCATGCTACCCACAAATTTTCTACTGAGATTGTCATGGCACTCCTCGGTCTTTCCATTCTTGCATGTGCACTCTCAAAATTACTCAGGTGGGCGCAGGAGATCCAAACTTGCAACTCAACATGGCTTCATTTTTTCCTTGAGATAAGCGGAGAAGGCTTCAAATCGCCTGAGATCGATGTAGGGTCAGCGTGACCACTGCCCGGACTATTCGTCTTTCGCCTTCCTTCACTTGCAAATATGCCGCCTACCTTGCCTCTCAGCCCTTTACCCTTACTCTCTCATCCTCTGCAGTGTGCTGTTGTGGTCATCCTCCTCTTTGTCAAGCCACCACGTCGCCTGGTATCCGCACTGTCCAGTCTTGTGCCTTGCTATGTCACCGACCGCTTTACACTTCGGGCTCTGTGCTTTGTTGCACTGCATCACGCCATGTTTAATTTCCTTAAACGCCCCAATACCTGCATTATCTGGTCTTTCTCCCCCTTTGCATCGGACTGCGTGCTGTATCTTGTGACCCTGTCACGGTCCTGCTTCCGTTCATGACACATTTACCTTTCGTTTCTGTCCTTCAAGTTGGAGGGTGTGTGCCCTATTTTTTGCCTCACTTTCCACTGCCTTTGCTTCGGGTCTGCATCTTAGTCTCAACCCCTTTGTCCGGTTACCTTTTTCTGGGAATCATGCCCTTTCCACATAAACCATCTTATTTCTGGTCCTTCTTCAAGTTACGCCTCCCCCATAGTTCTTACATCCGTTGGGTTCGTTAAATTGAATTACCTTTGTGTAAATGCAATCGCCAGCTTCCTTTCTCTTCCAAAATTCCTTCGCACGACACTTTGAAGACTTGGGCTATAGAAACATGAATTTCACTGAGATAAGATCTAATAGATGCACTCACGAGATCACGCGAGCACAATCTCATAGGCCTCAACTGATAATTGGTCACCTCGATTGTCCACGCGCCTCTATGCGCGCATCTACTGAGATACTTTAGCGATTCGACATTGTCCAGACGATACCACGGCGCATTCGCACTCGAATCAGAAACAATCCTACCTGCTTTTAGCTCTGCCTTTTATCAGATCAGATTAGGCCCAAGGGCGCGAACCTGAGCTGAGGAGAGGGCACACATCTACTTTCAGGCCGTTCCGATATTGACTTGGACTAATAATAACTTGAAATAAAAATTTCGATTGCTTCATTCGCGTGACTGATCAAGAACCATTGACCTGTGGATTTGAGAAAAAAAAATGCTCAGGGGTACGTGTCAGTGGTACCACTCGGAAGGAGTTGGCATGTGTAGGGGAGCCCTTCCATGTGCCGTGCTTCGGTAGACACCGGTCTTCACCTTGCATCTTTGAGCAGGGAGCTTTTCTTAGGTGGCGACTCAGGCGAGCCACGATCAGCAACTCAGGCTGGCTCGATCACATAGGTCACTATAATAATGGACCACAGATTAGAATTGTCCGCACCCATTATATTATCGACGATATTGAAGTCATAAATCACGTCGACCCCAGTCGCCTCTGCTTCTGTTTTTTTTTTTGCTACCAGGTCTCCTTCAATTAGTCGTAATTAGCAAAAACTGGTTCTGCCGCGGATGATGCGGTTTCTGGCCACCGCATCTCTCAGGCTGCTCTAAAAAGTCAGGTACCTTCCTCGAGAATAAACAACGCTGCAGAGAAAATCAGACGAGGCGCAGACATTGGACGTCCTGTGAATAACTGTTCAAGTTGCCGCTGGCGTCGTGGCGGAGCAGCACCACCCCCGGGCCCGGACCGGGCCGAGTGATCACCCCCGCAGAAGAGAATGGCCATGGGCCAGACGTTCAACATCACACTAGCCACGTTCAAAATTGAGCCGTGACTTTCGCGGTCGTGGTTGGGGTCGTGGTTGGGGCTCATCACATAAGCATTAATTCATAGTCCGCATTGTTACCACCCGTTCGGGCCTGTTCAGCAATCGTAGGCACGGGTTTTTCTCCGACAGACTCCGCAGCTTAGTCATATGATCCTAATTGGTTTTTGTATCTCATATTTCGCCCATATATGGTGGTTTAGGTTAGTCATCAGTGCGGGGTTTCAAAGCCACTCCCAATTCTGGCAGTGCCCAAATTTGTTGTCTTATGCAAGCACAATCAGGTGCGAAAACCGGGCCAAATAGATCAGCGGTTAGAACGTCTGACTACAAATTCCCATCTTAGAAGTGTTCTGGGTTCAAATCCTTGCCAGTCCATATTTTTAATTAACATGTAGCATACTTTATAGTACACAAAACGATTGCTTGACATTTATTTTGGAGAATCAATGGTGGATAGATGCAATCCAGCAAATTCAGAGAACACATTACCCCTTTTTTGATTGAAAGTTGTTATCACAACCAGATCTAGTGATGAAGTGGATGATTACATACGTGGGTTCTGAAACCCCGCTCCAACAAAGCGGTGACTACCCTATATGGATGCATAAGCAAATTTTGAAGACTATGGTTAAGGTTTCTTTCCCAAAAAAAAGCTAAGATTGTATGACCAAGCTGCGGAGTCTGTCGGAGAAAAACCCGTGCCTACGATTGCTGAACAGGCCCGAACGGGTGGTAACAATGCGGACTATGAATTAATGCTTATGTGATGAGCCCCAACCACGACCCCAACCACGACCGCGAAAGTCGCGGCTCAATTTTGAACGTGGCTACTGACGTAAGCCAACAGGATACTACGTAGGTCACTACCAAATGGTGACGGTGGTAGGAGAACCACCAGCAACTCGGATCCGTCGCTACGCCGCGCGAGGACTCAGTACCCCATACCACCTCCCGGGAAGTGAAACCGTGACACGACTGTGGACGAGATGTTGCGAAGGCTGACATTCACTGACAGAGAAGACCCGTTTTTGTAACTGAGTTGGCTATCTCCTTGGGTCTCAGTTAACCATCACAACCATGGCTCGGAACGCACGGCCGCATGGCTAGCGGAATCGGCGCGAAACCTTACGTGACTCGTTACGTGGCCTACCCCCACCTCAAGGCCTTCTTTCCACACTAAAAACATAACATTGCAGAAACACCCTGGGGGTATATTGTTAGAGTAATATCAGGCCCAGATCACACAAAGATCAGTGTTATTGGTATCGGAGGGAAGAAGGGAAGTAAGAATCAAAATTATCACTTCCCAGGGAGTAGGTAAGCCATATAGTAGTAAAAGCCGCGGAAAGCGCCTGTGATCAAGAGGTGGTCATGGAGGGGATAAGAAACAATAGAGCTGGAACCAGTGTACCCTCAGGTTGCCGATACTCGGACGTGTCTCGAGCCCGATTTTCTGTCAGTCGGCGTGCGCTTGTCCAGGGTCGTCAATTTTATTATCAACAGAAAGGTAGACTATTTCCAAAGGGGTTATTCGTTATAGTAGATACCATGGGTATCCGTACGTCGCATCCGTTGAACGAATAAAAACGACATCCTTACCGACACTGAATACAGTTATCTCTTCAGATTCAGCAATGACCCAAGTTGATGGTGAGGGGTCATTGCTGAATCTGAAGAGATAACTGTATTCAGCATTGGTATGTCTAAACATGAGCTCCTTGGTCCCTATGATCGATGTGCCCAGGTCCTCGCACATGCATTGGGCGCAAGTTCGCGGTAGTGGAATTGAAGCTGTCTGCTTCCTCACGCTTCTCATAAGGGACTGGATCATTGAATCGATCGTGAATCCTGGAGAGACTGGCGAACAATGGCGAGATGGTGTGATGCAAGTAGAGATGAAGATGTCGCTTTCCGTCAAAGCGCTCCCGATGCGACTGAGGCTGCGGATTCGACCTGCTTCGGTATGAACGCGATTGTCGCTGGCGATGTCCATACAATACTATCCTTGCCCTAAAATTGTACATTTTGCTGTACTTTTAAAAAATAATTCCGATAACGTGGGTTGACATAGCCTACACAGAGATTTGAAGGATGGTGGGGGGTTTGGCGTATGCAGCCTTCACTATGAATATGCAGACAAGACTTGTGAGCATAGATTAGTCGCGCATATTGATACTCGGTTCTGGGGGTGTAGTAAGGTGAAACGAGATGAGAGACGCTAGGAAATTGCAAAGCATAAGTAGTGCACCTTAAATATGGTCCCGAAACAAGGAGAAGCTTCACGTCACATGTACATTTTCGGGGTGACTTCTCGATGAGGTATCGTACAGATGACCATAAGGTCCACCGTCTCCCCAGAAAACCAGACTTACACTTTCTGTGGATGAAGGAGACAGAAGTAGAGATTTGCGGGTGGGCAAGTTAGCTGGGACTCGAACGCTTAGGACCCAGAAGCGCTAGACACCGTCAGAAAGGACGCTAAGATTTAAACTTTAGGGATCACACGAGAGGAAAAGAGAACGCTGGAACACTTAGTGCTCCTGACTAAAGGGGAAGCGTGCGGTTTACATACAGAGTAGGGAAAATGGTGCATGGAACAGTTGGGGCTCTCTTGTTCATTCATAGCATGACTGGCGTCGAGTAGAGAGGTCAGACAGGAGAGCAAAAAGCGATGATATCTTTTGGCCAAGTAAAACGGATGTGAAGAGACAAATCAACAGTAAAAGCCATTCATAACAACGCTGCGACGTTTAAACTTGCATTTACAAGAGTTAATTCCTGACGTTCCGACTTTAGTACCTGTACGTGAAAGCAACCATTGTTTGGAGGCAAAAACGCCCCAAAGAAATCAACCATTAAAGAGAAAAAAACCCAAACAGTGTTTAAGATCCTATCGGGAGTGACCTTTGCCCCGGAATCTCCAGGAGGAAAACACCTCAGATCTCCAACCGCTGAGAAAGTAATCGGGTTCTCCTGGGCTCAAGCTTCAATCGCAACTTCGTCTTCTCCTGCCGCCTCTTGAGGCGTGACCTACAGCGTTCACAAAGTGAACCCGGAATCCCGGCAGGCAGCCGTCTGTGGCACGCTTCACTTGAACATGGTCGCTGGAAGAGGGGTGCACTGGCGTTAAGTCCCAACTGTAAAAGAAAGTAACAATCACAAAAAGGAACTGACCATGGCGGCGGCCTTGTCTGAAGAACCCGCGGGACTAGCCGACCCTGGAACCTCAGGGCGGGGACTGTTGGCCGACCTCGGGGATGGAGGGCTCGTGCTCGGCTCAGAGACTGTTCCTGCGGGGTCAGTCGTCGACGTTGACGTAACGGAACCAGCTGCAGAAGGGGTAACGCCACTATCATCGGAACCCTTCGGCTGTACCATGACAATACGCAGGCCGTCTTCGCTCGCCGCGGCCTGATCTTCTCCGGAACGCCCGCGTTTGCGCTGCGACTTCGCCTGGGCCTGCACCTGTATCTGTGCTTGTGCACTCACGTCGAACCAATTCGACTCGACGGTTCCGCTCGCATACGGTCCCCACGGTGGATACGGATACGGTCGGAGGCCATACGGCGCAAGTTGACCAGGTGGAGGCGCTGCGTATTGATATGGCTGGAAAAGGCCAGGGGTTTGTGTACCACAAGTGTACGGCCTCGGAGGGTATGGCATTGGCGGATAGGGACCCGGAACGAGGAAAGGTGGTTGCCCAGGCGTGTACGGAATGGAGAATGGAAGCGGCATGTAATAAGGGACTTGGAATTGCGGTTGTATTTGCGATGTGGTTGTGCTGGCTCCGGTCGCTCCGGTGAGTGGTGCTGAGACAGATGTCGTAGAGATAATCGTCGTGGTAGGGCTAGGTGGTGTATTCGCCGATACTGCAGTGACATTTGAATGTGCGCTAGAGATTGGAGTAGAACTTGATGGTAGAGAATCGGAGTCACCAGAGGACACGGGGCTAACTGCACTCGTCCAGGCCATGGACTGAATCTCTTGTTGGCTCTGCTTTGAAGTACCTTGGTCGTCGATGCAAGACCCTTCCACCGAGGATTCTTCGGTGATAGACTGCTGGGTTGAATTCTCATTATCCACCTCGCACGAGACGGCGGAATCAGGGGGGATTTCTGAAAGAACCTCTGCCTCGGGAAGACCTGACCCATAGGGAAGAAGAGGGCTGTCCCGCGGAGCTATGCCGGAATAGTCAGGCATTGTGGTCTCCTGCAACGCCGTAGCTGTAAGAGTCTCGGCTGGAGGTAAGAGTGGTTCCATGAAAATAATCGGCGAATCAGAAATGGATGCAGGATCCCCCACGACTGGGCAAGCTGGCTCAGCATTTGCCTCTACACCTGCAGTCGAAGCTGTATGATCGCCTCCTTGACTGGCCACTCCTTCATCTGCATCGCCCGAAATACCTTTCTCACGATCAGATTTGCGCCTCCTGTTCATGCGATCTTTCTCTCTATGGGTTTCACACATCTTCCATGGTGAGCGATGGTAAAGTACGTTGTGACACCACTTGACGGAACAGACCGTATTTGATCGACGTGCGCCACGGGCGGGAGGGGGGATGGTGCTTTCGTCAGGTATTTCGTCGTGCTAACAACCACCATTGTGGGTAGGAACAGAATGAAGAGAAGAAGACAAACCTCCAACACTCCTGCCTGCTCGGTTTCCAACTCATGGGCGTCCAAGTCCAGGGGATCACTCGTGTAAAGCGGCTCAATGGCTCTTGCCTTGCCCTTCCTGTTTCCACTCTCAGCCGTTTCTGCGTCCTCTGTACTCTCACTTCGCAGGGGTGCAGACTTTACTTCTTTGTCTCGCACTCGCTTGAGCTTACTGTGGTGCCTATTTTGCAAGCGATGTCGCTCACAGCGACGATACGGATAGTGCCCCGGGAGCACGGCATGGCAGTGTGAGACCGTACACATACGAACGGGAAGCATAGATATCGGCGCATATTGAACCACCGGCGGGCGGGGGATGGTCTCCAAAACCTTTCTCTCCCAAGCTCGGCGATCAGCAGGTTGAAGCTCGGCAATCAGCTGGGGGAGGGGGGAGGATCAGGCGGCAGCGGCTGTCTTATCACATAAAGTCACTGACCGGCAAGCCTTGCTGCGCTCTTCGTGAATCCTCTTCGGCGCGCACGCGCGCCAGCTCCTGCGCAGCAATCTCACGGCCCCGCTTGCATTTGGAACGCTTCGTCATTCCATAACTGCGGTAGCGGTTACGGCAGGGCACACACATTTTGAAGAGATAGTCTCCGCCGATGACGGTGCGACAGCCCTTGACTGAGCAATAGCGAGACTGTCCTGCAGATCGGCTCGTGGAAGATGTCGTTACTGCCCCATCTGTCTGGGATGATGATTGAATATATGCGTCCTGCG